CTTGATGCAATCTCAACCTTTCACAGTAAAACCGTTTTTAATCCTGCAGATACCATGAGCTGGTGGACATCTATGGAAAACTTGATCCTCTGGCTGAAGTTGACCTCTCCCCACCAGAAGTGGCTCAGTGCTTGGTCAAATTTAGGGATGAACAAAAACTAATGAACATCAATCTCACCCAAACGGTATCAGAGTTGAAAAAACACTTAAGAGACTTTGTTGGTCTTCCACCGTCTAAGTTCCTGCTTGATTATTTGGATCCCGAATGTCCACAAGGGTCGACGGAGATGAAATCCAACAACAGACGTTTATATGCATATAAAATGAAGGATGGGGACGAGATACATATTTTTAAAAAAGGTTTCTTTCTAGAATAGAAGCATAAACTTTTTCACCACCAGTTCCATATTTCCATCACAAATTCACAAAATAGTCCTGTTTATAGTCTGTACTTTTCTTTAGAAGATTGGGACAAAAATGGCCAAATTTTTTTAATGAAACTGAAAAGTGACTAAAATTTAGTTCTTTTACTGCAACATTAAAGTTCATTTTCAGAAATATTAAAGAATATAAGAAAGAAGTGCAGAAAAGTTTAGGCGAGAAAGTCTGGTGGTGAATAGGTTACGAAAGGTTTTACAATTCATCATTACTATGTTGTACCCTATCGTAGACGTGTGGTTTGTACACTCTGTTTCATACATTCAATCATATGAAAAGGATTATGTTTGTCTTAGGTTTTAGAACAGTTTGAGCTGAATTCCAAATTTGTCACTACTGAGCATGTTACTGCACATATGTTCAATGCATTATGGGAGAGAAATTCCAAATTTGCACTACTGAGCATGTTACTGCACATATTTGCAATGCATCATGGGAGAGAAATTCAATTTGTCAATTTTTTGAAATGTTTCAAAATGTTGGAATTCATTTTAATAATAATGACTTTTTTACCCCATGTCTTCTACCGAAATTTTATGATACAAACCTGTGTAAATTCCCCGTTTTGACTATTTTCTGTTTATTCTGACCATAGACATTCCTGCAGTAATTATGTAAACATATGCACTTCTATTCAAAGCAAATACTGTATTTTAACCTGTCATTGGCCTGCTAGTACTGTAAATGCATTAATTATTCACTGTGTTTTAATTTCGATGAGTAAAATCTGCTAAATTAAATCTACGTGAAAATGTAAAAGGACAATAAAACTCATTGTCTCCTTGACAAATTTGTGAAATTAACACAGTGAATATGCTCAAAACATCAAAATAGTGAAAATAAATGGTTTCACAGTATGCTAGTATTGTTCTGTTACATATTAGGCAAATCAAATTTATTTGCATAAATATAATTTATTTTGGTTTTGTCAGTTCTTGGATTTAAATAAATCTAAATATTCAGTCCCTTTACAGCCAATATAAACAGTAATATACCCAAAAAAAAGTGAACAGAACTACTAAAATGAACTTTCCCAAAATAAATAATTCCACCATTTTCTTTGTAATAATAACCATCTATTTTGATCTTTTGTTCCCCAGTCTAATTTCTCTTCCAGATCTACAAACATTTTTTCTATCAATCTTAGCCAGTTGCCTGAATGTGTAAATGGTAAATTTGTGATAGATCGAGATTGATGGGGTGAAAAAAGATGGTAGGTCTGAAAGTGAGAGTACCGGTAGTCAAAGTAAACTTTTGTCACATTTCACTAAGTAAACCTCTATTAATATTTCCATATTTTTTTCAAATATTTTCATCAAGATCTGTAGCCAATGAGAATATTTGTCCATTTGGTTCAAAATTTGCAAAGATATAATAGAAAAGTACATAATAGTGTGAAAAATGGTGCATCAACATTTTTTTGGAAAATATTAGATTAAAGCATTAATATTAAGATAATACTTTATACCAGAAAATTGTGGTATATATCGGTAATGTGTCAAGGATTTTGTAAGAGAAACTACAAACATTTAGAACATTCATGCAATTTAGTTTTAGAAAGTCTGTATTCATTCATTTTTGTTATGCTCATGCATGAAGGACTGATTTATAGGCCAGTGTTAAATACCATTCTTCTTAGACCAGGAAAAAAAAAAAAATCTCTGTTTCTCGTTTCATGGAAATGATTAGTTATTTATTTTTTTAAATACTGAACTAAAATGGGGGAAATTTGAGACAAGTGCAAGTGCAAGCGCATTGTGGAATGCTTTACAAGAAAAACAAACGTCCGAGGCGCATAGTTCAAAATGATGTGCGCAAAAACGAGAAACAGATATTTTTTTTCTCAGCCTTACATGCAAATGAAGTTTCTCCAAAACTGTATCAGTTTATAGTGGATAACTCTTCGTCACAGGCTTCGGTCTCTAAATCTTACAATTGTATTTATTTCATAGCTGCCTCATTCAATCACACCTATTTTAATATATAGTATATTTAAATAATAAAGAAAGAAAAAAAATTCTAAAAAATGTGTAGAATTTTAAATAATTTAATTGAATCATAGATTCAAGCTGCTGTATTTTTTTGGACACAGCCTTTGCTTGAAAAATTATGAAAGTCATATTTTTGCCCCAGACCCCTCATGTAATTTTATGTTGTATGTGATACTCTGTTTTGTTTTATTTTGTCAGAAAGTTATTTAGATGAATTCTGTTATGACCCCCCTCCCTCCCAAAAATGACATAAAATCAATAGTGAGATATTTACTTTCTAGATTTATTGATTTTTACTGTTAACTTTTGTCAATTGTTCGGTCTAAAACTACCATTAAGTTTTATTTTATTGTAATAGTAATGTGACTTGTTATCAAAATGGCGCCCTCTACAGTTAAACTTAAAAATACAGATGTCTTGTTTTATCCCTGCCTTGGTCTTTCTGGCATACTTTTCACTTGTAGATGATTTCATTTTTTTTTTTTTTTTTACAGATGATATATTTGAACTTTAGGAATATTTACAGATTACTGCTAGATTGGTTGGTGTGAATAAAAATGAGAATAAAGCCACTTGTCTTGTGTCATTAGTGTTAGACTAGTCTATATGATCAGTACATGCAAGCCAGAATATGGGCATTATTGACTCGTGTTAAAGACTTTGCGGTTAATACGTGTGAGTGACAGTGCATCTATTCTACTGATATTTCAAGAACCAATCATCAGATTTCAATAAAACTTAGTACATATAATGCTCAGACCAGATAACTTTTTGGTTGAAACCTTGCATATTAATTACATTATTTGCATATTAATTATCCAATATTTAGTTTTTCTCAACCACTCATCAGTTTTCAATGAAACTTGGATAAGCCATAAACATGGGTTTGTATGACCTCATTAATTTGCCAAAGTAATATCTGCAGATATGGACATATTATATTGAAGGCATTTGACAAGTCTATACACGGTTATGTGGCCTCATTGGAAGGAAAATGAGAAGTACTTCAATGATTTTGCATGTAATAAATACACTTTTTGCTTCATGTTTTAATATAGTAAATACAGTATTCATATTTGTACTTCATGCCTACAATACAAATCAAAGAAAGCTTAGAAAGAACTCCCGTGTGCTGAGAGTTTTGGAGACATTAAAAATTAATTCAAAATTACTTATACAGTACTTGAGATATTGATGGAATAGCTGAAAACTAATTATGCAAATAAGGTAACTAATATGAACAGATTTAAGTGTAAAACTAATAATGTCTGCACAATGTACCAAGTTTCATTGAAATGTGATAAGAACCAAAAAA